CTCCGTGGCTGACAGCGGGGGGACAGCGGGCGGCGAGGCGCTGTGCCTGCTGTCTAGTTCCTGTTTGGGCTCTAGCCTCTGAAACGCATCTCCGAAAAACCAAAGCAGACACCGCTGTCGCTCCAAAGAACTCCAGGACTGTAGGACCCCAGGAGTAATTGGAGGGGGGGGTGCGGGAGCCGCTTGGAGTGCAGAGCTGTTTTTGTGGCTGGGAAATTTTTTTTTCTTTTCTTTTTAGTACCTGTCTGCCATGGTGTGTTTCCCCTCTTTCCCCAGGGAAGTCCGTAACTGTTTTATGGCCCGAGGACTCTAAAGCAATTTTAGTGGGCCAGAAGGCTTGGTGGGGTTTCAGGAGGGAAATCTTGGACTTAAATTGTAGGACCTCCTTGACTTCCCCCATATCTTTTTAGGCCTCAGAATTGATACTTTGAAAGTTTTTTGAGTGAGAGCGATGGATCTTAATGTTGAATCAAAATTATGCTAGGATATTCATCCTTACCCTGTTTTTGAAAATCACGGCTAGAGTTTGAGCAAGGTAAGTGAAGTCAAGCCGCTCGCTGAGCGGAGAATTAAACGCGAGGCACAGAACTTTTGTAGACACACTGAACTTCTGTACGTGCACCAGGTGAACAGGAAGGGACCAGGGCCACTCAGTAAGGTCAAAGGCAACACACAGATGGGGCCTGAGACAGAATTACAGAGATGGCTAGTGTAGGCCTGGTTGCTGCCTAAAATTTGATTGCTTAAAGCATAAATAAAATAGGAAACGCTCAGTGACTCCAGAATTCTCCAGCTCCGAGGCCAACATGTATGGATCTCGTTGGCATCGCGCTACTTTCTTGCTCACTGTAGGAAAATTTGATCATTTAGAGAAGAATGCCCGAGTCAGACATGCCAGGGATGGGCCGGTCCAGGGAAACAGTACGGGCAGCCAGTTCTTGACGTGGACAAAATGAGAATGAAAGTTTCTGAGCTCAACTGTGGAGAAGTTTCTAACATGTTGCTCATTTGCTGAGAAGGCTCTCTCAAGTTATTCCACTGGCTAATTGTTAAAGAGCAGATGACCTAGAATAGTCGTGCGGCCTTTATTTTGTCTTTTTTCCCCCCTTTCCTTGATTGTGCTAGGGCTGTGAATAAATACAGGGTTTGTTTGGCAGAGTGTGTGTTCCCTGTAAGTTGTGATATTGACAAGACAGTCTGGAAACGATATCAACATTTTGAGAATGTCTTTTCTCTTCTTTTCTTTGTTTTTTTTTTTTTTACCTTGTTGTGAAAGTTTATTAATGACCTGCTGAATCTTAACAAGTTAAACATAGAGTTCTTAGTGTTATGTTGCCTTTAGAGTTCTGAACTTCCTTTTAAAGCTGCTCCCTCTGATAAAAACATCTCTGGTCAATTAAATAGACAGGGCCACTAGTGTGCCAAAGTTGATCGATTATTTTAGATATTAATAATGTGAAAATAAAATCTTTGAGGAGGAAGTGGAGTTAGGATGCCGGCATTCTGACTTGGTTTCTACAAGTGCAAGGCTTCATTAATACTGTGTTGGAAAAGTATAATTTAGCAGCAGTGAGCTGATGTTTATGGCTTCCTGGTGTATCTGTTATATGTGAGATTGTATGTGTCGAATACTTTACACACGTAATAACTAAGTCTGACACTTCAAATAAATGGAGGGATGTGGCAAATGCCTTCCAGAAAGTTTGTCAGGCCTTTGAATTTTAGATGCTATTAGTACCTCTACTGCTGTTTGTATTTTGTCCTTTGTCTCCTAAAGGTAGCAGTAAGGTAAGGAGCAAAGATGTCGTAGCATCCGTGAAGCCCGAGCACGGTACTTTGATGGCTAAGATTTTAAATGATCTTATAAAATTTTCTGTTTTCCTTGCTTCAGAAAACAGTTTGGGACCCAAATCACTGTGCTACTCATAAGTGAGTTACATATGCTTTACTATATATATTTTGGTATTGTTTTTGTTTTACTTTTTTAGGTTATATCCCGCCCGCGAGTTTACTGTAATAATCACAGTATAGGTCTTTGTATGCCTAAGGAAATCTTCATCCTAGGAAAACCTTCAAAACATGGAAAGGACTGTATCTGTGGGAAGGCCTCTTTAAGATTTTAGTAATTCAGTGCCGTTTCTATTACTATTATTATTATTATTACTAGTATTATGAGTGTTCAGATATAGAAGCAACACTTTTCAATTAATGATCTCTGCATTTTTTACTAAGCAGCAAGTAAAAGGGTACTAGGTTTTAATAAGCTTTTGTCTTACCATCTTTCTTGAAGTAAAGATTACTGAAAGTTTTTAAAGGGATCGTGGCCAGTTGTTTTTGAACTAGAAGTCTGAGTTTGAAATTGGGGTGAATGTTGAAAACTGACGTTTAAACTTGTTTTAGTAATACACATATTTAAAAGTTATTTTTGTTTACTTCAGTACTCTCTTTGATAGCAAACAATGTCACAACACTATGCTATTGTGTGTAAAACCAAATAGACCTTGGGAAAATTTATGGGCAGGTGTCTATAATTGATTTAAAGGAAAAATTATTATTTTTGTAATAAGTGATGTACTTAAAATAAAATGACTGGCTCACATTAGAACACATTCTTATGAAGATATTGTCTGGTGTGTAAAATGAAGCCATTCATTCAGGAGACTGACAGCTTTCCACTTGGTGTTTGCCTTTGCTTAATTTAGTTTCCGCAGGAGAGCTGGTGTGGTAGTCTGCATTTGTTTTTGGCAGGCATAGAAAACTATAAACTCAGACAGTTCTGTCCCAATATTGCAGCTCACAAGTTGCAATCAATGTGATAAAAGCAGTCAGGTTTTATGGACTCATTCCCTGTTGTTCATCCTTGGTCCAGCTTTCAGGTAACAGGTTTCTTTTTCTTCCTCTTTTGGTGGGTAGTGACTGCTGATACCAGGGATAACTGTTTCCAAGTCTTGTTTACTCATTGACCTTCCTTATTTACTGTTGATTGAAATATGGGGAAATGATTACCAGTACATCTAGGCTTGGTTTTACTTGGGTTGCTTATCTATGGGATAACGCTGTCTTTCAATATGCTAGAAAAGAAGTGAGTCCTTTACAACTAAGCAGTTGTGATTTATGGGACTCTAGGGTCTCCCTCTGAGTAGGACATGAAGACACTCCTCTAGCCTTTGCCAAGCAGAAATTTAATCGTGATTTTTAAGGGTACCTGTCATGGCCATGTATTGAAAAGCACTTTACAATTATTTCTGTTTTAAAACTTGGACAGTTTAAAAAATAATTGTCAAAATCATTTGTCTCCTCAAAGCTTGAAGCTGCCAATTAAAGTAAATATGCTGAAATACTGAGTATTTTTTTATACTACTGTTTTGTAGAAAATAACAAAGACTTGTCCTTGAATATAAGCCGTTTCAAGCCATTTTTTTACAGGTAGATAATATTCTGTTATATGTGACCTTCATAAATATTGTCTTCAATGTAATTATGGTTGTTTCTTAAGTTGTCTTATTACTCAGTGGCTCTGATAATGTCTGAGAACTGAATTTGTCAGTCTTTGGTTTGCTTCTCTGTTGGGTGTAGTAATGTAGAACTTGACTTAGGTTAGAAAGGATTTTTTGGGTGCAAGGAAATGTTTTCTCCTGAATTTGCAGAAGGCTGTGTGGGTGAAGACAGTTTGAGTTCGCATAGTTTCTTAGAGGCAGAAGCTTGCTAGCGACTCCAGCTCTAGCAACTCTTGTAGTGGCGGTGTCTACTTTTTTTTTTTTCTTTTAACCCCACTGTTTGCTTTCAAAAGCACAAACCCAAGTAGCAAAAACAAAGATGAAATTATCAATGCATGTCCAGTTTGAAGCATCATTGGAAATCATTTTCTAAATCAAGGCTATAATTGAAATAAAAATAACATTAACCCCCAAATCAGACATTAAGGATATGCTTGTTGTTCTTAAGTACGCTTCATGAAAAATAATAAAAGCCATTTAATTTTAAAAATGTTTCTAGCTCTTTAAAAACCTGCAGTAAATACTTTACAAGTGGCTAGACACCTTCCCTGGTGGTTTAGTTTATACAAGTAGAAACTTTCTCTCCTACTCTTTCTCTCTCTCTTTCTTGTTTTCTTTAAACCAACTGACGTAATGCCAAACTTTGCTTTAAAAGAACAGACAGAAGTAATTGGTAGCTTTTAACTTTTAATAATGTTCTGGATTGTTTTTAGTGGCCAAAATGCCATTTTTTTTTTTTTAAGGAAAAAAAAAGTTCAAGTAAGAAGGAGCTTGTGGCCTGAGGAAGAAAGGCTCTGTTGATGCAGTTATTTTTATTCTTGTTTTTCAATCTGTTATTAAGAATCTTTCCTGCTGAGCACGGCTGGATTTCTCCAATTGCCCTTCGCGATGGTTGGTGCATTTCAGGTTACTGAAACTTAAACAGTTTGGGGGTTTGGGGGAGAGTGTTATCCTCGTTGCTTATTTCTTTCTTATTTGGGGAAAATTTTAGCTTTTGTTTCAATCAAGATTAAATAATTAAGGTCATCCATGGAGATAACTCAGTGAGTATGTTTGTACGAAGAATGCCGCACCTGTTAGCCGCAGCCTAAAATGTGGAAGCTTCATTGTGACATTAATCATTTTTATGAGCAGAGGAAGGAAAATGGATGAAGCTGTACCAGAATGCATTTTGAGAGTGAAAATATTGTTTTATGGTCAGTGTGTTCCTATGGGAGGTTTTTTCTTCCTTACAATTTTAGATGACAATTTTTTAGTTTTATTTATCCTGTAGTATTTTTAATTTCTTTTTTATTTTTTTCTCCCTCCCTAGTCATTGCCTCGCTGTCTGACTTTGCACAGCAAGCAGAACTTTAGTTAAGATATATCCTGGGGGTGTTGACTGACGGGGCAACTTCAGAAGCTGGCAAGCGGGAACATCTTTTCGGGGGCAGAAAGATGTGTGATAGTGTGCTTTCTTCTGGGGTAGGTGGGTTAGAACGTCCGCATTTCTGACGTGAATCATTGCTGGGAAGGTTTAAATCCTAAGGTTACACATTATGGACTTTGCCTTTAATCCCAAACTCATTCCAGTGAATTTCTTATTTTTTATATAGAGCACATTCAAGAAATAATACACACCGAAAACAATTAAGTGTCCCACAGAGCAGGGGTAAAGCGTCTGCAGTAACTATAATTGGAAAAAGCACTTTGTATATTCCAGGCCCTGCAAATGTTCTCTGTTTAAAAATTTGACAGTTTTGATTTACTTCACGTGTGTTTATCAGTTTTTTGAGTAGGAGCACCAGACTTTAGTTCAAATCCCAGGTATTCTTTCCTTGCTAATTTAAGGATTTGTCGGGGGAGGAAAACTAGAGGAACTGCAGCTCTTTCATTCAAACCAGCCTAGTGGAAGTTTCTGGGAGTCAGTGGTGGTTTGTTGCGGTTTTTACAGTCTTCAAACAAATTTCAGGAGTTCTGGGTGTCTGTCATTAGATGTTTATTTCATGATGTTAGTTTGTCTTGAAAACTGAGAGAATGGTGAAAAATAAAGTTTGGG